AAAGGTAGACTGGACCATTTTTGCAGATTGGTAATTTAAATATTAAATTATAAATAATAAATATAATATATAGCCGTGATGTGTACTCAGCAGATAATGTACAGTAATAACTAATAACTATATTTTAGGTTGGGTGGTGTAAAAATATTAAACGTGATTCRARGGAAAAAAAGTTCAAGCCACCACTGACTATAAGTACATTATTTTAATTAATATAAGCAAAATATAACATATTATGTATTTAAAAAACTGTATATATGCAAAATAAAATTTTGTATTTTGGATTTATTGACTAGCTATAACTTGCAGCTTATTCAGCTATTTTTTCAACTGTTAAGAAAAAACATGCAAATGCATACAAACCAGGGCCTTAATTATGTATATATTTATATACCTGTAACAATTAGGAATTATGTATATTATATAACACTTTGCAATTTAGATTGCCCCGCATTGTGTGTATTAATAAAAAAAATTATTATATAAATTTGAGAAGTTCTAATTTTGCATAATTGTTGAAAAAAATGTTAAATTACATTTTAAGTAATTTATATTATTYTATATTTACAATTTTTCTTACTTAAGTTCAAGGTGAAACTTTACATTTTATTAAGCCAATTTAAAGATTAAACAAACAATGCTATGAGCCTATGCATAATAAAAATTAAATTGCTCTTAAACCCAATCATGAATAATTGATACCTAATATAAAATCAATTTTTATTACAAAAATAAAATCCCAATGTTAGTAACATTTTTTTTTATAGTTAAGTAATCATGACAATCATGTAACTATAATATAAGTGAAAATTTGCTTGAAAATTAATATTTAACAACTTTTAATTATAAATTTAATTGATCCATAGAATAATATAATAAACGGTAATTTAATACTTATTTAAATCTTAAAAAAAATAATCGTAAAAGTGGAATTAATACCAAATTTCGTAATTTATTATTTTCAAAATTAAATTTGTGCTGGTATTTTCGGTAAACCAAATTCATCCACTGAAATTTCACCAGGTTTACTACGCTCTTTTTCATTTTGCCCAGGTTCTTTGTCTGGAACATTCACTTGGTCTAAATAAGATGTATCATCATCTAAAGCTAATTCATCGCCAATTGCTTCAAGCTCTGCATTTAGTTCGTCTTCATCAATATCCGGTACTCCATACGTTCGTCCTAATGCTTCTTGCACTTCATTTGATTGGTCCAACATATCAGCCATTTCATCTTGAAGATCCTATATTAAAATTCTTCGATCAATAACAAAAAATGACAAATGATTTAATCTTCTAAAGAGTCAATCCTTAGAAAAGATGATTATTCATAATTTAATCTGTTACTTTTCTTCCACCAATAAAGGGTAATATTTAAGTTTTCATGGCTGTATTGGTTGATCGATAATTATGTAATAAAATTCCAATTAGTAACTGTCAAGTATTATATTAGATAACTATTCACTAGAATTACATTTTGTCTCTTGTCATTCTACCTAGTAAAAACATTCACAAGTATTGAAAATCCAGTCCTCCAACAACAATTTTTAGGAAGGTACTTGAATCAAAAATATATTTTTTTTTAAATGTCAAACTTTATTTAGTATTAATTTTTAGTTAAAACTTGTATTAATTTATAACTTGTTTAGTTGCCATTATATGTATGTATTAGAAATAATAAAATATAACAAAATATTTCTAATTTCTTATTAGGTTAGGTATACTTCAAACGTTGTGAAAATGAACCTTGTTGACAAATTGTCAAGAATGTCTTAAGTCTGCAGTTCAAGTATAACAAATACACAAGTATATTATGTACACAGGTGCATGTTTTTTGTGTGTTAAAAGGTGGGAAAATTCAAAGCTACATTCTGTCGGTATTTAAACATCAGTCATCACTGATATAATTAAGATCTGATTGTTAATCTGTCATAAGTGGCTTAGTAAGCTGTAGAATAACTCAATAACCCATTTAAATTAGCCAATGCTTAAATATCATAAATACTCATTGGATCTAGTTATAAATATTAAAATAATTTTAGCCTACCTCAATATCGTCAATATTAATGTTCTTAAATTCTTTTTTCATTTGTTTCATGCCGGTTTTCATTGCAACTACTGTTGATTGGGTGTCTTTCAAAGACTGAACTGCATAAGAAGCTTGTTCCATGTTGAAAGATTGATTTCTTAAGTTTTCAGCCTGACTTTCATATCTATTAATGATGAATAATAATAAGTACTTATAAAAATATTTAATGCATACCAATCATTTTAAACAAATTAGAATAGCAAGTAGCTAATGAATTTCTGCTCCCTTCTTTTGGATGTACGGGTCTGTCAGAACAAATGCATATTTTTAAAAATAATGCTACGCTCTAAGTAATGTCAGTAAAAATGTTTTATTATATCAAAAAATGCAGTTTTTTTTATATGTAACAAAATTTAGGTTTTGAAAATAATGTCAGGCATATGGCGCTCTTGAGCCATAAAGTAGGGATGCAGGCACTCGTGAAACAATCCTATTGCGTCGATCAGCATCTGTCTCGAAACTTTTCTCACCATTTGAGTGATCTTGTCTTTTAATTTATTAAGGGTTTGTGGTTGGTTAGACTTTTGATTTTATGTGATCCCACCAAAAAAAATTGAATGTTGTCAAGTCAGGGGAGCAAGGGGGCCACGAAATGTCACCAAAACGCGAAATGAGCCATATGTATGATATTATTTTCAAAACCTAATTTTGCTACATATAAAAAACTGCATATGCGTATACATTTTTTAATATAATGAAACATTTTTTACTGAAATTACTTTGAGCGTAGCATTATTTTGAAAAACATACATTTGTTCTGATGGACCCTGTAATATAAAATATGTATTATGTATATAATAAATATTAATAAACTTAATATCCATATATTTAAAATATAGATATAAAAAATATAAATAAAGTAAAAAAAATTGTAACTCCCATCATGTTTTAACATTAATTGTATGTATTTATAAGTATATAACTGGGAGTGGAACTTAATTATACTAATGTATAATAGTATAGGCATAGTGTGATGATTTTTTTGATTTTTTTTTNGGGGGGGGATAGTCTTTTTTTATGGTATCAATGATGATGCCGCAACTTCTTGCAAATCACTTTGCATAAAAGCTATAATGATTCAGGTATAGAGGTACAGAACATATTATATCCTATAAATATAAGTATAGAAAAATGTAAAGGAACAAAATATGAAAAGGACTAAAGAAGCACATTATTAAGTAAAAATGTAAAATATAAATAAATAATATACTATATATCATATTATTATCAAATACGTATACAAAAAAAATTGAAATAGGAAATGATTACTATATCATAAGGTTTAAACGCCAGCTATTTTTGAATAAATATATTAACAACCTCTTCAGATTAAATATTATTAGCTAACTGCTAAGTCCCTTTCAATATTAAGTAACAATAGATTTGAAAATCTATCATTGGTCATAAAATTTTGTACTTTTGTTTTTATTTGCTACCTTTCTGAAAATGATCTCACATATGGACGTGTAAAACAATAAACTTTTACGCTAAACAAATTTCTGGGGGCTTTATAGAATTTGGGAGGGGGCTATAGCCCCCTTATCCCTCACCATTTTACGCCTATAATAGGTATATGCACCCAGTAAACTATACACAATATTAACTATTATTAGGTATGGGTCATTGGAGGAAAAACCAATTAATCAGAGATAAAACATCCTAAAATCAAATATTTTTTAGCTTATATAATGTATAATATTTTCCAACGCTCACTGTTTCCTTTGCTTCAAGACTCTTAATGCTTTTTGTTTCAATGAATTCTTAGCTGGACCTTCTCTCATCTTTGCCATTTGATCTTTCAGTTTTTTTAACTCTTTGTCAAGTCTATTAATTTTTTGTTCTACCGATTCAGCCCGATCATCTACCTATAAATGATTTTAAACATACAAATTTTGAGTAAATCAGAGGATCAAACTACCTATTAAATGATGTAGATACAATATAATTCATCCATTATTGTATTATTTATTTATATACTTACTCCTTTTATGACGACGGACATATCCGGAGGGGGCGCCTTTTCTTTAGATTTCCCGAAAATACGGTTCATTTTATTAAGTAGTTACTATCTTTTTTACTAAACAATTAAAATAAAATTTGCTAAAAGCTGGATTTTTAATACAACTACAAGCACCGAATAATAATATTAGACACTATAATAACGTTACAATCAATACAAAATAAAGAATTAAATTATTAAATTTTGAATTTAATATGTCATTTGCTCTAAGTGAAACTCGAAGCTCCGTGGATACCGATGTTGGGGACAATGTTGATGCAATTTTATTATATGAGTTATGACTTATGAGTCGAAAATTTGTGGAGTTTAGGATAAGGACTGAAGATTAGGATTTGTGATAATAATTGATGATAAAKCCGCAGAATATACATGAAATTTCATATTATATTCAGTGATAAGGCTCAGCGGTCTGGTTTCGAAGGCGGGACTGTTTGAAAATCAAGTTTGAATGTCTATATGCATATTATCTTACATTGCCCACGACATTGACGATTTCATAATACGGTCCTCCGTCGCATGTCTGGTGCTTTTTCGTATGTACAAAAATATAAATTTGATATTCATGTTCGAGCGTCTAGCAACTGAATCCCCTCAAGTAAAAATCGATTAATTTTAAAGTTAGGTTAACCAAGGTAGTCGAATTGCAGAAAATACAGCTAATCAGGTAGGCCATCCACCGCAGGTGGAAAGCGGACCCTCAGTTCCGCAGTGATAAATAAAACTCAGCTACATTGATAGTGTATAGTGACAATAATACCTACTTTTTACACTAATAAATAATAATATATACATTGCAGAACGCATATAAATGTATTTGCCACGATAAACCAAAAAATATTTAATCATACGGATAGACGAATAGACGCACACTTAATTGTATTAATTTCGTAACTTTTCTACGTGGTCATTTTTAGTAAAGCAAAATCATATATTTTATCATACAAGTGGGTGGAGTTAGGAAGTAGATCAATGCGAAGTGAACTTAGATATGGTCAATTTAATAAGCGAGGAAGAAGTGTGGAGGGTGGTTAGAAAAATGAAAAATAGAAAAKCAGTAGGTCCAAATGGAATACCAGTAGAAGCTTGGAACGTGCTAGCCGCTAGGAATATTATAGGAGTAGACCGGTTAGGTTGATGAGATTCTTCAATAGGTTATTAGTAGGTGGAAAAATTCCAGACGTTTGGAAAAAGAGTTATGTAATACCCACTAAGGTAATAGGTAAATATTTATATGTGGCCTTGGTAATAAAATTTCTCGGCCTGAATTTTTCTCCCAGGCCGTTCCTATAGGTAGATAATCGTATGTCTAATGTTTAATCGTAAAAAAACTCGTCAAATTTAAAACACTGTGTATACAATATTGTTAGGTATATTAATTTATTAGGCAGGTGCCTTATTTTCTTGTCAATCTAGGCCCTTTAATTTGTCTAGACAAACTATACCAAAGATGGAAAATTATTTGAACGCTATGGGCCAAAAATTATCTTTTTTTTTCAAGTATGCCATGAAAAACATTATGTTTTATAATATATTATATAACCAAAATATATACAATATAAATATATTATATGGCAGTATTGTACAGTTCCCACCCATTCCTGGTTTTTGAACAGGAAAAAAAAGGACCTATAGATATTATAGGTGTCTATGTACAAATATTTAATAAAATGTCTTGTATTAATACAAACTATGAAGTTAGTTCGTTATATATCGTTGAGTTGTAACTCTGGGGAAATTCAAAAAAATCAAATATCAACAAAATACAAACATTCCAAAATATAGTACTTCGTAAACTTTTAAATGCTCCCCTCCTTACTATGTCTCGGACGATTCTATACATTCGGACTTAAAACTGAAACTGTTCACGAAGAAGCGAAAATACATTACCAACGTTTCCAAAATTGACTATTATCAAACCAAAACCCGCTAATAAAAAATCTTGCTACACCCTCCATTCCCGGAAACCCCCCAGACACCTAAAACGCAAATGGTGCCGGGATCTGCTATCCCTCACAAATTAAACCTACTATAATAAATCGAAAAAAAAAAAGAGTAATAAATAAAAGCAAGCTATGAGTGTCATTAATGGATAATTTCTCTATACATATTAATTCAATTACTGCAATTTAAAATTGTACTCTAAACACATATACATATTATGCCAACAGGACAACAGGTAAAGATTGTATATTTTCAAATAAAAAAAAAAAAATGAATATAGCCATGTCCTATCCATTCTTTAAAATCCATAGTAAATAAGTAAAAATTGATGTGCGCATTCGCATACGGAGTGTGGAACTATTACCATAGAACAAACTGCCATAGATTAGTACATAAGTGCAAACTGCTTACTATAGACAGTGCTATTACAACTTACTGGCAGCAATATGCTGGATTGATCCACGACTGGTATCTGTGATACCTTATACCACAGAACAATGCTTATAAATGCTTATACCACTTATACCACGATGTAGAGGAAATATCAGATTCTTTAATATTTAATATATATATATATATATATACCTATTAATGTATTAATATTTATTATTTTTTTATTTAATATTTAATATTCTTTAATATCTTTAATATTCTATAATCAATGATAATACTATCAATAATTTTGTAAAAATGTTCACATTCTCTTATCAGCTCATTTAGTCATTTTACATTTTCACGATTCCGGATTCACTATTTTCAGTACTTCAGTAGTAATGCACTAATGTCRCAGAATAGATTAATGCTAATGTCTTGTGTAATTCAGATAATTCATTATACATTTTAGGTTAATCAATATTATATATTTATTTACATATTTGTTGATTCATGGTTTTATTGAAAAAATAAAATGTCATTTATCATCAATGCTTTTCAAAGATGTAAAGCTCTGGCTAAATTTCAAACGCCAATGAACAAAACGTGTGTAAGTATAAAATAGTGAAAATATCTAAACTATAACCTTAGGTTATACTTATAGAAAAAAATAATTTTAAATCGCTGTTTAAAATTTTTTTAGTTGGGTGTGCTTCCTTGTGATCAACAAATCCGTAATAAATGGCCAGACTTTAGAATGAAAAAAGATGCACGGAAAAGAAACACTGTTAAAGAATATGGTGTATATAAGCTGCGCTATAATGCACTTCGTAAGAACAATATCATTCCTTTAGAAATTCAAGTAATTAAAATTGAAAAAAATGATTGTAAAATTTATATTTTTGGGGTAATGTTCACAATTTGACCCATTTCTGAACTTCTGCATTTTTAAACTATAGGAAATTGCTGACAAAGAAATCTACAATTGTCCAAGAGATGCTAGTATAACAAGAATTGTACAACGTTGTCAGGTAACTTCCCGTCCTCGTGGTAATGTAAAACGATGGCGTTTGAGTCGAATAGTTTTCAGACATCTTGCTGATTATAACAAATTAGCAGGTGTTCAAAGAGCGATGTGGTAAGCAAATCTTTTTATATTTTTAGTTACTCATGATTACCTAATTTATATCATTATTTTCTTCAGGTAAAATCAAAATGAAAAAGATTGCCAACATATAGTCTTATTTAAATAACATATTRAATAAAATAAGTTATAAATTACCTGGAAGTTAAAGTTATATTTATAATTATTGAATAATAGATCAAGTAAATATACTACCTATGAAAATAATACAATTTGTTCTACATTTATTTAAGTATAATAATTTATTAATTTAGAATGAAAGTATACATCTTTATAAGAATTATAAATTAATCATTAATCTTACAATTACTTACCTAAATATTTAGGTTAGAAATTTTAAGTCTTTTACTTTTAATTAGCTTGGTGTTTAATTACTACTAGCTGATTATATGCTCTTCATTGCCTATTAAAAATTTCAACTCTATATGAATAACATGTTATATTTTATATATAACCAATTACCTGACGTTTCTTGGTAAGCAAATGTGTTCAACTCCTTTTGGAGGTTACTCGCTGTAGAAACTAAGCCTTTATAAGTGTTAATTATCCAAAACAACAGTTAAATTTAAACTAATATTGTTACAATATTATTCAATTTATTTTTGATTGAATAATATTTGACGAAGTGCATTTAGATTCACAATATTTTTTTGTTTTCCTTCTRGTATATATACAAACAAATCAGAAGGTTTTATGATGAGTGAACTGGCCAAATACAGATATCCATTTGAGAAACATGGATTTTACAAATTCAGTTCACACACTTGTAGCAATTGTCCTTGTGCTTTGTTGAGTCGTATAGAAAACTCTAAATGTTTGAATTTGAACGATATATCTGTTGGAATCATTGGAGTGTGTGGCAAATGTACATCATTGTCCATACATTTTCTGTTTAAAATTGTTGTTTTAACATTGTTCATCAAATTTTTCACCCTAAGTTTGGTACCATTGCAGATTTGTAATGGATTTGTTTTGTAGAAGAATCATGGGCACGCAAATTTTTTATAATAGAACGTGCTATGGCATGCAGGCAAATCATATATATTTAAGAATTCAGTAGGATAATTGAAAACTGTCTTGAATCAATACAGTATTGATGGACTTGTACGTTGTTGTTTTGCCTGGAACCCTGTTTTGAATGCTAAAATTAATTTTGTAAACATTAATGTTTTTGCTGCTACTAAATCACTATACCCCTGATGATTTCTGTAATTTTGTGCTATATTTGGGAAAACTATGTCAATTAACTCGTGGCAGTTGCTATGATCTTACAAATGTTGTTGGTAATGAGATGCATTAAGTTAATTCATTGATTACATTTTTGGAGTACTTCACCCATTTCGGAACTTTTCGTGATATTTTGTTGAAGAACATACATTTGTTATTTGTATGTTTTTTTCATTTATTTAACTAGAATTAATTTTTTAAAATACATATTTAAAACTTAGACCTCTTATCTCAGGAATGTATCTGATTGATCATTTATTAATTAACTAAATGTTAATTAATAATTATTAATTGTCAAATAAACTATATTAAAAAGTCAAATATTGTTTTGTTTATAATATCAGTACAATATAAAACATGGCACAGTCTTTGGAGTTGTATATGAAATAACCAACGTCCTACGTGTTAATTGTTTAATTTCTTAGATTCAAATTGATATAAAATAAATAATTTAAAATGGAACTCAATAGCCCGGCGAATCTTAAATTAATTGGTAATATAAATGACAACTTAAAATATTTAAATAAAAAGTAGAAGTTTACTTTATGGCTACTGAAACATATCAAAAAGTAAAAGAAGTTCAAGTGGCACATCCACTCAACCTTTTAGGACCAGATGGTTTGAAATTGTTCAACACATTCAGAATTGAAGATGCAACTATTGAAACAATTTTCAAATGTTTGGAAGAATATTGCGTACCTAACCTAAGAATGTGGTAATGGAGCATTACAAATACTTCAGCAGAAAAAAATGAAAATGAATCATTTGACAAGTTCTATGCTGACCTACGTGAACTGATCAAGTCATATTCATTTGGAGAAGCTGAAGAAACTCTGTTATGCTCACAAATAGTACTTGGTATACACGATAAGGATCTGCAGACAAAATTACTCAGAGAAGATTTGCAGTTGTCCAAAATCATTAAGTATTGTCAAGCGGTAGAACAGGCTGAGATGCATCGACGTGTARTTCAAAAAGAAAATCTAACTCTGGAACAAATTGAAGAACGTCAAAAATACAAACCAAAAGGATGGAGACAGATTATGCAAAATAATAATTTCCAAAGTTAAACAGGAGCATAAAAACAAAAATCAGGTAAATTATAAAAATAAAAATTATGGTGAAAGTCGAAATAATAATGTTAAAATATTTAGTTGTAATAAATGTGGTAAATCTCATGGTATAAATGAGTGTCTTGCGTATGGAAAAACCTGTAATAATTGCTTTAAACTCAATCATTTCGCAGTAAAATGTAGAAAAGTTACTAATAAAGGACAGTTGAATGAGGTTCATGTAATAATAGTAATGATGAGGAAAAAGAATTAACATATTTGTCATTAAATAGCATCGAGTCAGAGAAACATATAAATTGGACAGATTTTGTTGTGCTAGAATAAGCTAGATGGTGAAAAAGAATTAAAAATTAAATTAGATACAGGAGCTCAGTTGAATGTAATGACTCTTAAAGTATTTAAAAAACTAAATAAAAGCTTGGAAAAAAGTTTTGATGTTATTAAATTATTTGAAGGGTTTAAAATAGTCATTGGGAAAAGTTAAAGTAAATTTAAAAAACTCTAAGAATGAAATAACTACCTATTTTGAAGTAGTTAATTTTAATGATTTACGGATACTAGGATTAAATGATTGTGTAAGACTAAATTATGAAATTAAAGAAGTAAATGAAATTAGAAGTTGTAATACAGAAAAAGATGTATTTAAAAAAAAGTATAATGATATATTTAATGGTTTAGGAAAGTTTCCAGAAAAAATTTCTATAAAAGTTAAAGATGATGCTAATCCTAAAGTCTCCCCACTAAGAAGAGTACCTTATAAAATAGTAAATAAATTAAAAGAAACATTACATAAAATGTGTGAATTAAAAATTATTGAAAAGTGTAAAGAACTGAGAGAATGGCAAAGTCCTATAGTAATAATTGTAAAACCAGACAAAAGTTTAAGAGTTTGTTTAGATCCCAGGGAGCTTAATAAAAATATAGTTAGGGAAATATACCAAATACCAACACTTGAAGAAATTAAATTAAATTAATTAAATATAAAATATTTTACTTTATTTGACATTCGAGGCTTTGTCCTTTTGGTTTTTTATTGATATTTTGCTCAACACTTCTGCTTGTTTCCACTAGTCTGTTATATTCACATAATCATCTTCCCATATTTTAGCTGAATTTTTTACAGCATTTGACACCATATACTTTTGGTTCTTTTTGATAATTATTCCCTATCCAGCCAGAAACTCTAACTTTACAGCATCAGTAAGAATTGAACCCTTCATTGCAGCATCTGTGTACATAATAACATTAGAAATCATACTAGAATGATCACTAGGAGATTTCTGTGACACAATCTTTGTAAATTCATATTGGTGAATGTAGTAAGCATGCATTAAGGGCTTTGGAATAAAAGCCACAAATTCATAAGGTATCATAGATCCAAATGCAGACGTCATGAGTAGGACAGGATAATCGGAGGAAATAGAGGACATGAGCTGTAGAGGAACAATAGTGGATTTTGCAATCAACATATATGAACAAGTAACATCAGGAATAGCCATAGCCATTATATTAACCTTGGTCCATGCCGTGAACAATATAGAAGCGAATCTCGATCAGCTGATTGGGTTTACGTTTACCCATGATTTAAGATATCTYGGATCCTTGTTTACCTGTATTCAGAAAATGAGGTTAAAATATATCAATCATAATTTATGAGGTTCTATTGTATATTATATAGACAAATAGATGTAGGATTGTACGAGTACTGAATAATGGTGGGGTGTTTAGGGGGCGTAGCCTCCCAAATTATTTTTTACAATGATTAAGGCGTGTACCCATGATTTTTTTAGGACTACATCACATGCATTAGATCATCTCTCAATAGCCGCTTTAATCTCTACTCCATTCTCAATAATAATTACATCTTCACCATTCAAATCATTAAGTTTATTTTGGATGGTGGCTTTATATAATATTATCTTTGTATTTTAATTTAATTTAATTTGTTGTCTAATATTGCCTAATTGTAAATTGTATTAGTTGCCACTTAAAGCTATGAATAAAAAAAATTGCTTGGGTTTTAAAATTAGATTAGGACGTAGTCTCCATTTTAAACTATAACATAATTTTATTTAGATTTTTTTTTTGCTCCTTGAAGTCCTATCTAAAGGAGAAACCTGTGTAAAAGTTGCATATTATTAATAACAAAAGACTATAATATGATATAAAAGTTTTCATTACTATTCTACGAAGTGTCGATGTCGAAGTCGCAAAATAAATTGTGTTATTACCTATAGCAAGGATTGRGAACTTGYGGCTCTTTGAAAAATGCATCAGTATATCGAAAACCATAAAGTATAAATTTTATTTTAAAAAACAGCGAAATTCTATACCTATGTCCTATGACTAAAAAAAKTTTGGTTTAGTAACTTTTTAAAAAAAATGGCTCTTTCCTACGAAAAGGTTCCTGACCCCTGAATTACAGTAATATACAAATGACAACAGTGTGTATTTTGTTTTGCCCATACATGCCCCTTAAAACATGTAATCCAATTAGTATGTATGGTTCACATTTTTACGGTCCAGCCTTCCAGGTTTGTACCGTTTAAATAATAACTATACACTATTTACCATCTAGATTTGTAAATTAAATTTCAGATTTGTACCGTCCAGGTTTTAAGATTTCAAGAGTATACGGGTTCGGGGTTCCCCGAGTTCACATCCCAGTTTACTCAATACAAGTAGGCATTATACCTGTATACAGTGGCGCCGAACTCAATTTTTATAGGTGGGGCAAAGTACAAAAATTAATACCCACGACCCACCCCTGCACCCAGATGACCCC